ACTCGACGAGGTGCTCTTTTGGCTGGAGGAAGCGCTCAACGCCGTGCTCGACATCGTCGGCGTCTTCATCGGCCTCGACTACGACCAGACCAAGCAGGTGGAGGCCGACCTTCACGTGCTGATGGCTGACATCCGTGCCCTGGGCGACGGCCAGATTGACGTGGACGGAGGTCTGGAGGCCATCCTGCTCGACATCCTCAAGATCTTGGGCGACTTTGGCATACCAACCGACCACCTGACGTCCAGCAACTCCAGTACGTAAGCCCGATGTGAGGAGGACATGGGCCCGGCGTTGCTCGGCACACTACCTGCACTTTGGTGTACGCTGAGCTGTCGCCGGCTATTTGGAGGGGTTTGAGAAAGCACATCGGTAAGGAGTAGAGTTACCACGTCTCCTTTTGAGCCGGTATCAACGGCTTGTAGGTGGCAGAAATGTACGCGGGAACTGGCTTATATCGGAAAGCAATGGGCTGATACAGACTTGGCTTCGGGTAAAAATGCATTTATTGTCAACCAGCATCTGCCAGAACCGGCAAAGCCTCACTATCATGGACCCATTCACCGTTTATTACTGCGTTTACTGAGTTACTATCCCGCCGTCACCGCAAACCTATATATTTCGTCTTTTGTGTGCAACAATGGGTTCCACGCAGGTCTTTTTTATTTTGATTTCTGTCCAGATCAGCAGTTTTGAGCGGAACATTTACCTTTGAATATGTACGTATGCATTATAAACATACATGCATACATACATACGTACGCAGATAAATATATATATATATATATATATATATATATATATGTATATATATACATACATATATGTATACATACATTAAATAAATATGCACGCATATATCCTCTGTAGCGCATCAGCCCTGAATCTGACTGTATTTCCAAGACACCGTCGAACTCAGCGACGCTCGCTTCGGGAGTTTGTTTGGCTCTGTCTGTGGATGCTGTCATTAGCTCTGCTCCGATCCTCTGACTAACGAATTTACTTTCAGCCAAAGAGGATAAGTCAGAAGCAGTTTAGAGCGGGATGTGCATGTTCTGACTTGACATTATACGCACCAATTATCTTGCACTTTGCGCACTGTGCTTTCATATGGAGAGCGCGCCCCAAGGCACTAGAGTGGAAAAATAATAAAACAATATACAGCCATCTGACATCTTGTTTCACACATAAATTACAGATATATGCAGGGTGCTTCAGAAATTGATTGGAATTTAAAGTTGTTCAAAGAAAACCGCTCATTATCAACCTAAACATCAGTACCAGGACGATACGAACAAGAACGCTCAGAAACCATGGGCTGATCGTCGCATTTCCCAACAATCAGCCCGATTTCACAAACCACAGAGGCCACCAACTCCCGGCCCGGCCGTGCGAACGCTGATCATAAGTCGTCCCGCAGCCGAGCCGAGCCCTGTGGACAAGCTGCTAGGCGAGCTGAAGGCAATCGTGGACCGCTACCTGCCGATGTTTGGACCTCTCGCCGGCCTCACCGAGGACCAGATCAGCTCCATCGTCTCTAGCTTTGACAAGTTTGTGGCTGATGTAGAGGCTCTGGAACACGGCACAGTGAATATCTCCACGGGACTCGAGAACATGGTCACCGACATCATTGACATCCTGAAAGCCTTGGGCATTGATCAAACCAACCCCAGTGAGTACCAATTGAGATTTTGAAAAAGTGCACAACATCGAAATCTGAATGCCTCAATCTAAACGACGACAATTATAACAGGTGCCTTGGAAGCCATGGGTCATTATATTATATGCGTATTTCCAACATCTTTTGTAAACTTTCCGGCCCGCTTACTTTTTAATTGCTCACCCAATATTAGTGAAGCAGTTCAACGTCTGTATGTCCTTTGTCCACAGCGGACGACACACCGACAGATCTGGACAGTGTGTTGACTCAGCTGGAGAGTCTTCTGAACAAGGGGCTCGAGTCTCTGGGACCGGTTCTGGGTCTGGCTGATGACCAGATCAAGGCTGCTGAGGCTGACATTGACATGCTCATCAAGGACATCGAGTCGGCCGAGCACGGACACACCGACATCGACACTGCGCTGGAGAAGATCCTGACGGACGTGCTGAACATTCTGAAGGACTGTGGAGCTCCCATCTTTTTCAGGAGTGTCTACACGGTCACCAGTACGTAAAACACATATTATGCACACCTTGCTGTCACAACGACAAAGGTGAAACTTTACCAGCATTCATTAAATTGCATTTTACAACATATTCAACTTCTGCACTAGTAAAAGAGCGAAGATGAACGCAGAGAACGATTTTGCTGCATTGGAAGGCAGAAAATTCCAAATTTCTCTCCCAAGGCTTATACACTTCCTCATTTAATCATGAAACACGAAGTGAAATACTGACAGCACTTCATGAAACTGTTGTCAACAACTTGTCGACAACTTCGATGCTAAAATAAGAAGCGTATTGGAATGAATGCAACGCCAAGGGTTCCTTGCACGGGCCATGCTCGTCGCATCGAGATCGCACGACCTTATGAGAAGCGATGCTACATCGCGAGAATATGCGCAAGCAGCGCCATATCTGTAATGCCGCGTTCCGCGACCGCGAAAAAAAAGCCTTTTCTATTCCCGGCTGGTTTCGTAGAGTCCATAATACAAGCGATTGTCGGATGGACATAGCAAACATTGAACTTGTAACCCAGTCTTTTAGAGGTGTTGATCACTCGCCGCCATAGTCTATTCACGTTCCCATTCATGCTTTTCAGCTGAGCCGAGCCCCGTTGAAAAGCTTCTGGAGGAGTTGAAAGCCCTCGTGGACAAGTACCTGCCGATCCTGGGACCGATCATCGGTCTGACAGAGGATCAGGTCAACGCCGTCATCTCCAACTTTGACAAGTTTGTAGCCGATTGCGAGGCTCTAAATCACGGCACCGTTGAAATCTCCACCGGACTCGAGAACATGGTCACCGACATCATCGAGATCCTGAGAGCCCTGGGCATCGATACTACCAATCCTAGTGAGTAACGTATAGCTATTGATCACGTCTGCTCATAATGTTCATATCAACGGATCAGTGATGACAAAGAAAAAAGGGACATCAGGTTGGAAGTCTCGATCCATACGTTATTGCGCAGCATTGAAACCTGGCTTAAAAACTCGAGGTTGAGTACGCATTTTGTACATACTGGATGTCATGTGGAGAGCCAATAGAGAACCGATGAACCGATGAACCGATGAACCGATGCGTTACCCGCACTCTGTCCACAGCTGACGACACACCGACCGGTCTGGACGGCCTGCTGACTCAGCTGGAGAGTCTTCTAAGCAAGGGTCTCGAGTCCCTGGGGCCGGTGCTGGGTCTGACTGATGACCAGATCAAGGCTGCTGAGGCTGACATTGACACGCTCATCAAAGACATCGAGTCGGCCGAGCACGGACACACCGACATCGACACTGCGCTGGAGAAGATCCTGACGGACGTGCTCAACATTCTGAAGGACTGCGGAGCTCCCATCCTACCCAGGACGGTTTCTATGGCCACCAGTACGTCAGCAGCAATTGGTGTATGAGAACTGATTGCTGCAAAGTACGTTGCAGTTATTGTGCAATTGTGCAAACATCAGGTACGTTATTGTGCAAAACATTACAACGGTCAGCAAACTTCATTACTGGATTTCACGTAATGTATGCCTCCTCACTTACTTGGATTATATAACCGACGACCGGCAGTCATATGGACTGCAATTATATGTTCAGAACGACAGCTCTCCCACCTAAAACCCAAAGTAATGGTGCGTCGGGAAAAATCCTTTCAATTCAGCCCGCACACACATGAGGATTTCACTGTAAGGGTTTTCCTGACGCCATTTTTATAAAAGTCACCTGTGGTTATAACTCTAGGAATATCTTACCAGCTACCTGTGTAGTAAGATCAGAAAAAGGGGAATGAAAAAGTTTTTGATCCTCTGGTTAAAAGGCAATCAGACGAAAAGAGTCATCAGAAAAACGAGCTGTTCTATTCCCATGTTAGTCAGCACAGCAGGTTTTGAACAAAACGCAGCAAGTAGGCATAGCTAATGTTAGCATTACACTGAACACTACATTCCCAGTACACAACTTGGGATAAATATGGCTAAGCGCCTTTTCGCATGCATTTAGAGCTCAAGCCACCTTGCAGAATCAATCATTTTCATGAAATTAATGCGCAGCTCATGCCGGTCATTCTCTGTGGGCCCGACCAGCTCAGCGAAAGATTATTGCTGGTTGAGTGTGGATGCTAGCGCCAGGAAGTGGGCGTTCGTAAGGCTGATTGGTAGGCAATCTACACGTTTGTATACAAAAATTGATTCAAGTGCGCACTCGCCGGCATGTAAAACGACGCATTTTTGGGCCATTTTAGCTGATATGCATAAATGTTAGTAATTTTTCGACGACGTGCACCCCGTATGTATTTAATAGCGCGTTGCTTACATCTCCCAAGATGGATGATTGATCTGGTAGCTATCAGTGATATCGGATCAAGTAGCGTTGTGATTGTATCCTTGACCTTCGAGCTTTGGTTCAAGTAGGGATACATGCTGATAAGAAACGGTTCTGTAACTGCGCAAGAATGACAATGGCAAATTTACTTCGGTATGGCACAAAGCATGCAGCAACAGATTGACTCTGCAATGCAGATTAATGAGGTGCTGCGGCAGCACTTTAAGTCATTACATTTTTTGGAGCACAACAGAGGTCATGTTTTTTTTCCTCCGTGCGTGCACTCCCGTCGTCGGCTCTTGGGCAGAGATAATTACAACAGTGTTTGCCGAGCGGCAAGTCGGACATTGCTCATGCAAAACGTAGACTTGTGTAAACTCAAGAGCCTTGGTACAAATTGGGTACTGATTTCACGCACCATATCATGCGTTGCAGCTGAGCCGAGCCCCGTTGAAAAGCTTCTGGAAGAGTTGAAAGCCCTCGTGGACAAGTACCTGCCGATCCTGGGACCCGATCATCGGTCTGACAGAAGATCAGGTCAATGCCGTCATCTCCAACTTTGACAAGTTTGTGGCCGATTGCGAGGCTCTAAATCACGGCACTGTTGACATCTCCACCGGACTCGAGAACATGGTCACCGACATCATCGAGATCCTGAGAGCCCTGGGCATCGATACTACCAATCCTAGTGAGTAGTGAATGACCGTTGGTCATGTCTGCTCATAGCGTTCATGTCAGCAGTTCAGTGATGACGAAAAAAGTAGTAACCACGAGCCTCAAAATCACCAATAGTATGTAAATGCGTAGTTTTGAGACAGCACCTACAAACCGGATGCTTAGCTCATGTATCCATTGCTGAGTTCCATTTAGGGTACCAATGCATCAGCTCCACGCTCCTTGTCCACAGCTGACGACACACCGACCGATCTGGACGGCCTGCTGACTCAGCTGGAGAGTCTTCTAAGCAAGGGGCTCGAGTCCCTGGGGCCGGTGCTGGGTCTGACTGATGACCAGATCAAGGCTGCAGAGGCTGACATTGACACGCTCATCAAGGACATCGAGTCGGCCGAGCACGGGCACACCGACATCGACACTGCGCTGGAGAAGATCCTGACGGACGTGCTCAACATTCTGAAGGACTGCGGAGCTCCCATCCTACCCAGGACGGTTTCTATGGCCACCAGTACGTCAGCAGCAATTGGTGTATGAGAACTGATTGCTGCAAAGTACGTTATTTTGCAAAACATTACAACGGTCAGCAAACTTCATTACTGGATTTCACGTAATGTATGCCTCCTCACTTCCTTGGATTATATAACCGACGACCGGCAGTCATATGGACTGCAATTATATGTTCAGAACGACAGCTCTCCCACTTAACGCCCATAGTAATGGTATGTCGGGAGAAATGTTTTCAGTTCGTCCCGCACACACATGAGGATTTCACTGCAAGGGTTTTCCTGACGCCATTTTTATAACAGTCACCTGTGGTTGTAATTCTAGGAATATCTTACCAGTAACCTGCATAGTAACATCACAAGAACGGGGAATGAACAAATTTCTGATTCTCTGGTTAAAAAGCAATCGGACGAACAGAGTCATCAGCAAAACGTGCTGTTCTGTTTTCCATGCTAGTCAACACAGCAGGTGTTAAACAAAACGCAATAAGTAGGCATAGCTACTGTCAGCATTACACTGCACACTACATACCCAGCACACAACCTGGGATAAATATGGCTAAGCGCCTTTTCGCATGCATTTAGAGCTCAAGCCACCTTGCAGAATCAATCATTTTCATGAAATTAATGCGCAGCTCATGCCGGTCATTCTCTGTGGGCCCGACCAGCTCAGCGAAAGATTATTGCTGGTTGAGTTTGGATGCTAGCGCCAGGAAGTGGGCATTCGTAAAACTGATTGGTAGGCAATCTACACGTGTGTATACAAAAATTGATTCAAGTGCGCACTCGCCGGCATGTATAACGACGCATTATTGGGCCATTTTAGCTAAAATGCATGTATGCTATTAATTTTTCGACGACGTGCACTCCGCTTGTACTAAATAGCGCATTGCTTACCTCTCCCAAGATGGATGAACGATCTGGTAGCTATCAGTGACATCGAATCAAGTAGCGTTGTGATTGTATCCTTGGCCTTCGAGCTTCGGTTCAAGTAGGGGTACATGCTGATAAGAAACGGTTCTGTAACTGTTTGCGCAGCAATGACAATGGCAAATTCCCTCCAGCATGGCACAAGGCATGCAGCAACAGATCGACTCTGCAATACAGATTAATGAGGTGCTGCAGCAGCACTTCAAGGCATTGCATTTTTTGGAGCACAACAGAGGTCATGTTTTTTTTCCTCCGTCATGCGTGCACTCTCGTCGTCTGCTCTTGGGCAGAGATAATTACAACAGTGTTTGCCGAGCGGCAAGTCGGACATTGCTCATGCAAAACGTAGACTGGTGTAAACTCAAGAGCCTTGGTACAAATTGGGTCCTGATTTCACGCACCATATCATGCGTTGCAGCTGAGCCGAGCCCCGTTGAAAAGCTTCTGGAGGAGTTGAAAGCCCTCGTGGACAAGTACCTGCCGATCCTGGGACCGATCATCGGTCTGACAGAGGATCAGGTCAATGCCGTCATCTCCAACTTTGACAAGTTTGTGGCCGATTGCGAGGCTCTAAATCACGGCACCGTTGACATCTCCACCGGACTCGAGAACATGGTCACCGACATCATCGAGATCCTGAGAGCCCTGGGCATCGATACTACCAATCCCAGTGAGTAGTGAATGACCGTTGGTCATGTCTGCTCATAGCGTTCATGTCAGCAGTTCAGTGATGACGAAGAAAGTGGTAGCACGAGCTTTAAAATCACCATTCGTATGCGATTGCGTAGTTTTGAGACAACACCTACAAACTGGATCCTTAGCTCATGCATTCATTGCTGAGATCCATTTAGGGTACCAATGCATCAGCTACACGCTCCTTGTCCACAGCGGACGACACACCGACCGATCTGGACGGCCTGCTGACTCAGCTGGAGAGTCTTCTAAGCAAGGGTCTCGAGTCCCTGGGGCCGGTGCTGGGTCTGACTGATGACCAGATCAAGGCTGCAGAGGCTGACATTGACACGCTCATCAAGGACATCGAGTCGGCCGAGCACGGACACACCGACATCGACACTGCGCTGGAGAAGATCCTGACGGACGTGCTCAACATTCTGAAGGACTGCGGAGCTCCCATCCTACCCAGGACGGTTTCTATGGTCACCAGTACGTCAGCGGCAAATGGTGTATGAGAACTGATTGCTGCAAAGTACGTTGTTGTGCAAAACATTACAACGATCAGCAAACTTCATTACTAGATTTTACATAATGTATGCCTCCTCACTTACTTGGATTATGTGACTGACGACCGGCAGTCATATAGGCTGCAATCATATGTAAAGAATGACAGCTCTCCCACTTAAAGCCCGTAGTAATGGTATGTCGGGAGAAATGTTTTCAGTTCGTCCCGCACACACATGAGGATTTCACGGCAAGGGTTTTCCTGACTCCATTTTTATAACAGTCACCTGTGGTTACACGCCTAGGAGTATCTTACCAGCAACCTGCATGGTAACATCATAAAAACGGGGAATAAAAAAATTCTGATTCTCTGGTTAAAAAGCAATCGGACGAACAGAGTCATCAGCAAAACGTGCTGTTTTGTTGCCATGTTAGTCAACCCAGCAGGTGTTAAACAAACGCAGTAAGTAGACATAGCTACTGTCAGCATTACACTGAACACTACATACCCAGCACACAACCTGGGATAAATAGGGCTAAGCGCCTTTTCGCATGCATTTAGAGCTCAAGCCACTTGCAGAAATCAATCATTTCATCAAGTTAACGCTGTTGCTCATGCTGGTCATTCTCTGTGGGCCCGACCAGCTCAGCGAAAGGCTATTGCTGGTTGAGTGTGGATGCTTAGCGCCAGGAGTGGGCATTCGTAAAACTGATTGGTAGGCAGTCTACACGTGTGTATATAAAAATTGATTCAAGTGCGCACTCGCCGGCATGTATAACGACGCATTATTGGGCCATTTTAGCTGATATGCATGTATGCTATTAATTTTTCGAAGGTTCGAAGGTTTCGAAGGTGATTCGTGCACCCCGCATGTACTAAATTGCGCGTTGCTTACCTCTCCCAAGATGGATGAACGATCTGGTAGCTATAAATGATATCGGATCAAGTAGCGTTGTGATTGTATCCTTGGCGTTCGAGCTTCAGTTCAAGTAAGGATGCATGCTGATAAGAAACGGTTCTGTAACTGTTTGCGCAACAATGACAATGGCAAATTCCCCCCAGCATGGCACAAAGCATGCAGCAACAGATCGACTCTGCAATACAGACTAATGAGGTGCTGCAGCAACACTTTAAGGGATTACATTTTTTGGAGCACTATAGAGATCATGTTTTTTTTCCTCCGTCATGCGTGCACTCTCGTCGTCTGCTCTTGGGCAGAGATAATTACAACAGTGTTTGCCGAGCGGCAAGTCGGACATTGCTCATGCAAAACGTAGACTGGTGTAAAACTTCAAGAGCCTTGGTGCAAATTGGGTACTGATTTCACGCACCATATCATGCGTTGCAGCTGAGCCGAGCCCCGTTGAAAAGCTTCTGGAGGAGTTGAAAAGCCCTCGTGGACAAGTACCTGCCGATCCTGGGACCGATCATCGGTCTGACAGAGGATCAGGTCAATGCCGTCATCTCCAACTTTGACAAGTTTGTGGCCGATTGCGAGGCTCTAAATCACGGCACCGTTGACATCTCCACCGGACCTCGAGAACATGGTCACCGACATCATCGAGATCCTGAGAGCCCTGGGCATCGATACTACCAATCCCAGTGAGTAGTGAATGACCGTTGGTCATGTCCTGCTCATAGCGTTCATGTCAGCAGTTCAGTGATGACGAAGAAAAAGTGGTAGCACGAGCTTTAAAAATCACCCGTTCGTATGCGATTGCGTAGTTTTGAGACAACACCTACAAACTGGATCCTTAGCTCATGCATTCATTGCTGAGATCCATTTAGGGTACCAATGCATCAGCTACACGCTCCTTGTCCACAGCGGACGACACACCGACCGATCTGGACGCCTGCTGACTCAGCTGGAGAGTCTTCTAAGCAAGGGTCTCGAGTCCCTGGGGGCCGGTGCTGGGTCTGACTGATGACCAGATCAAGGCTGCAGAGGCTGACATTGACACGCTCAATCAAGGACTATCGAGTCGGCCGAGCACGGACACACCGACATCGACACTGCGCTGGAGAAGATCCTGACGGACGTGCTCAACATTCTGAAGGACTGCGGGAGCTCCCATCCTACCCAGGACGGTTTCTATGGCCACCAGTACGTCAGCCGGCAAATGGTGTATGAGAACTGATTGCTGCAAAGTACGTTGTTGTGCAAAACATTACAACGATCAGCAAACTTCACTTACTAGATTTACATAATGTATGCCTCGTCACTTACTTGGATTATATGACTGACGACCGGCAGTCATATAGGCTGCAATCATATGTAAAGAATGACAGCTCTCCCACTTAAAGCCCATAGAAAGGGTATGTCGGGAGAAATGTTTTCAGTTCGTCCCGCAACACATGAGGATTTCACGGCAAGGGTTTTCCTGACTCTATTTTTATAACAGTCACCTGTGGTTACACGCCTAGGAGTATTACCAGAAACCTGCATGGTAACCAAAAACGGGAAATAAAAAAATTTCTGATTCTCTGGTTAAAAAGCAATCGGACGAACAGAGTCATCAGCAAAACGTGCTGTTTTGTTGCCATGTTAGTCAACCCAGCAGGTTGTAAACAAAACGCAGTAAGTAGACATAGCTACTGTCAGCATTACACTGAACACTACATACCCAGCACACAACTGGGATAATATGGCTAAGCGCCTTTTCGCATGCATTTAGAGCTCAAGCCACCTTGCAGAATCAATCATTTTCATCAAGTTAACGCGTTGCTCATGCTGGTCATTCTCTGTGGGCCCGACCAGCTCAGCGAAAGGCTATTGCTGGTTGAGTGTGGATGCTAGCGCAGGAAGTGGGCATTCGTAAAACTGATTGGTAGGCAGTCTACACGTGTGTATATAAAAATTGTATTCAAGTGCGCACCTCGCCGGCATGTATAACGACGCATTATTGGGCCATTTTAGCTGATATGCATGTATGCTTTTAATTTTTCGAATGTTCGAAGGTTTTCGAAGGTGATTCGTGCACCCCGCATGTACTAAATTGCGCGTTGCTTACCTCTCCCAAGATGGATGAAACGATCTGGTAGCTATAAATGATATCGGATCAAGTAGCGTTGTGATTGTATCCTTGGCGTTCGAGCTTCGGTTTCAAGTAAGGATGCATGCTGATAGAAACGGTTCTGTAACTGTTTGCGCAACAATGACAATGGCAAATTCCTCCCCCCAGCATGGCACAAAGCATGCAGCAACAGATCGACTCTCAATACAGACTAATGAGTTGCTGCAAGCACAGCACTTTAAGGGATTACATTTTTTGGAGCACTATAGAGATCATGTTTTTTTTCCTCCGTCATGCGTGCACTCTCGTCGTCTGCTCTTGGGCAGAGATAATTAACAACAGTGTTTGCCGAGCGGCAAGTCGGACATTGCTCATGCAAACGTAGACTGGTGTAAACTCAAGAGCCTGGTACAAATTGGGTCCTGATTTCACGCACCATATCATGCGTTGCAGCTGAGCCGAGCCCCGTTGAAAGCTTCTGGAGGAGTTGAAAGCCCTCGTGGACAAGTACCTGCCGATCCTGGGACCGATCATCGGTCTGACAGAGGATCAGGTCAATGCCGTCATCTCCAACTTTGACAAGTTTGTGGCCGATTGCGAGGCTCTAAATCACGGCACCGTTGACATCTCCACCGGACTCGAGAACATGGTCACCGACATCATCGAGATCCTGAGAGCCCTGGGCATCGATACTACCAATCCAGTGAGTAGTGAATGACCGTGGTCATGTCTGCTCATAACGTTCATGTCAGCAGTTCAGTGATGACGAAGAAAGTGGTAGCACGAGCTTTAAAATCACCAATCGTATGCGATTGCTGGTTTGAGACAGCACCTACAACTGGATGCTTAGCTCATGTATCCATTGCTGAGTTCCATTAGGGTACCAATGCATCAGCTACGCTCCTTGTCCACAGCGGACGACACACCGACCGATCTTGACGGCCTGCTGACTCAGCTGGAGAGTCTTCTAAGCAAGGGCTCGAGTCCCTGGGGCCGGTGCTGCTGGGTCGACTGATGACCAGATCAAGGCTGCTGAGGCTGACATTGACACGCTCTCAAGGACATCGAGTCGGCCGAGCACGGACCACCGACATAGACACTGCGCTGGAGAAGATCCTGACGGACGTGCTCAAAATTCTGAAGGACTGCGGAGCTCCCATCCTACCAGGACGGTTTCTATGGCCACCAGTACGTCAGCAGCAATGGTGTATGAGAGCTGATTGCTGCAAAGTACGTTATTGTGCAAAACATTACAACGATCAGCAACTTCATTACTAGATTTCACATAATGTATGCCCCCGCACTTACTTGGATTATGTGATGGACGACCGGCAGTTCATATGGGCTGCAATCATATGTAAAGAATGACAGCTCTCCCACTTAAAGCCCGTAGTAATGGTATGGTCGGGAGAAATGTTTTCAGTTCGTCCCGCACCACACATGAGGATTTCACGGCAGGGTTTCCGACTCCATTTTTATAACAGTCACCCGTGGTTACAATCCAGGAATATCTTACCAGCTACCTGGGTGGTAAGATCAGAAAAAGAGGAATGAAAAAGTTTCTGATCCTCTGTTAAAAGGCAATCACACGAAAGAGTCATCAGAAAAACGAGCTGCTATTCCCATGTTAGTCACAGCAGGTTTTGAACAAAACACAGTAAGTAGGCATAGCTAATGTTAGCATTACACTGAACACTACATAACCCAGCACACCAACTTGGGTAAATATGGTTAAGCGCCTTTCGCATGCATTAGAGCTCAAGCCCCTTGCAGAATCAATCATTTTCATGAAATTAATGCGCAGCTCATGCCGGTCATTCTCTGTGGGCCCGACCAGCTCAGCGAAAGTTATTGCTGGTTGAGTGTGGATTGCCTAGCGCCAGGAAGTGGGCGTTCGTAAAACTGATTGGTAGGCAATCTACAGTGTGTATACAAAAATTGATTCAAGTGCGCATCGCCGGCATGTATAACGACGCATTATTGGCCATTTTAGCTGATATGCATGAATGTTATTAATTTTTCGACGACGTGCACCCCGCATGTAGTAAAATTGCGCATTACTTACGTCTCCCAAGATGGAGATGATTGGTAGCTATCAGTGACATCGGATCGATCAGTAGCGTTGTGATTGCTCTCCTTGGCCTTCGAGCTTCGGTTCAAGTAGGGATACATGCCTTGATAAGAAACGGTTCTGTAACGTTGCGCAAAAATGACACTGGCAAATTTACTTCGTAGGCACAAAGCATGCAGCAAACCGATCGACTCTGCAATACACATTAATGAGTGCTGCGGCAGCACTTTAAGGGATTACATTTTGGAGCACAAACAGAGGCTGTTGTTTTCTCCTCCGTCATGCGTGCACTCCCGTCGTCTGCTATGGGCAGAGATAATTACAACGTGTTTGCCGAGCGGCAAGTCGGACATTGCTCAGCAAAACGTAGACTGATGTAAACTCAAAGAGCCTGGTACAAATTGGGTACTGATTTCAGCACCATATCATGCGTTGCAGCTGAGCCGAGCCCCGGTTGAAAAGCTTCTGGAAGAGTGAAAGCCCTCGTGGACAAGTACCTGCCGATCCTGGGACCGATCATCGGTCTGACAGAGGATCAGGTCAATGCCGTCATCTCCAACTTTGACAAGTTTGTGGCCGATTGCGAGGCTCTAAATCACGGCACCGTTGACATCTCCACCGGACTCGAGAACATGGTCACCGACATCATCGAGATCCTGAGAGCCCTGGGCATCGATACTACCAATCCTAGTGAGTAGTGAATGACCGTTGGTCATGTCTGCTCATAGCGTTCATGTCAGCAGTTCAGTGATGACGAAAAAAGTAGTAACCACGAGCCTCAAAATCACCAATAGTATGTAAATGCGTAGTTTTGAGACAGCACCTACAAACCGGATGCTTAGCTCATGTATCCATTGCTGAGTTCCATTTAGGGTACCAATGCATCAGCTCCACGCTCCTTGTCCACAGCTGACGACACACCGACCGATCTGGACGGCCTGCTGACTCAGCTGGAGAGTCTTCTAAGCAAGGGGCTCGAGTCCCTGGGGCCGGTGCTGGGTCTGACTGATGACCAGATCAAGGCTGCAGAGGCTGACATTGACACGCTCATCAAGGACATCGAGTCGGCCGAGCACGGGCACACCGACATCGACACTGCGCTGGAGAAGATCCTGACGGACGTGCTCAACATTCTGAAGGACTGCGGAGCTCCCATCCT